GAAGGGTTCTATAATTTCATCAAGAAGTATTACACTCACTGTGGGTTGTCATAAAGACTTCATGCCCAGCAGGCATGCAGCTGTAATCCCAGCCTCTCAGGAGCCTGAGGCAGGAGGATCCCCCGAGCCCAGAAGTTTGGGGCAAGTATAGACAACATTGTCTCTTTTTCTTTAAGGATATTATCTGGCTAACAATGTCTTTAGTAAGTTTTTGTCTCAGTCATAATTTATTTTTTTTCTTTTTGGTGGAACCAGGGATTGAATTCGGTCCCTTGTGCTTGCCAGGGAAGCGCTTATTCCCCTGAGCCATCTCCCCGGCCCCTCAGTCCTAATTTAGTGCTAAAGCTTAGTGAATGTTTTTTCTCCATCTCATTTTTGTGCTTCTCTAATATGGCGCTTGACTAGCATAATTCTGATGCTGAGCCCGCTCTCCTGGGCGGGTCCCCTTGCTCACAGCACAGTGAGTGGAGATGTACGTGTATGCTCACCACACTGAAGGGCTCAGTCTGCAAGGGTTTGGCCGCTGTCATTACTGAGGCTTTGTGTATGTTTGAAAGAAAGACTGATCTAGATTGTTTCATTGTGCTATTCGTTCCCACCGGGTTTCAGGATCCTGTCATAGCCTCAGAGAATCAGATGGGCGGCATCTCCCTCCCTTCTTGTCTCCGGGAAGGCTTCATAGGTCAGACATGATCTGACCCTGGTAGGCCTGGCACAGATTTAGTGTCCCTTGTCTGACATACTTGGGCCCAGACATGTTCTGGATTTGGGAAGCTTGGGATTTGAGGATATCTTCATCAACTTTATGGACTGAGAATGTCTGACCTGAAAATTGAAAGTCTGCCATGTTCCGGAATCTAAAGCAGTTGAGGGCCCCTCAGCGCATTTTGGACTTTTGAATCAGGGCTGCTCAGCCTGCACCATTTTGAGAAATGGGGAATTGGGCAGACCGAGCACTCACTAGTGCTTTACTTTATTCAAGTGTTTTAAGAAGTCCATCTTTTCAGGGTGCATGTCACGCCTGTAATCCCAGCACTTGGGAGGCTGATGCAAGAGGATCATTGTGAGTTTGAGGCCAGCATGGGCTACATAGTGAGTTCAAGACCAAGCTGAACTACACAGTGAGATCCTGTCCCAAGTTGAAACCAGAATAATAATAATAATAATAATAATAATAATAATAATAATATCCCCATTGAGTCAATTTTGACAGTATATATTGTCTTTACAAATTATTTAGTCTGCATTTTTATGTTTTGACATTATCTTAGTTACTTTTCTCATTGCTGGGACGAAATCCCCAACACCCACGTTAAAGGAAGAAAGGTTTATGTGGCTCAAAGTTCATAGAAGTTTCATTCCTTAGTTGTCTGGCTCCAAGCAGAATGGCATGGTGGGGGGCATCACAGAGGAGAAACAGCCCATGGCAAGGCAGGCAGGAGACAGTGAAGCAGCAAGCAGCAGCAAGAGCTAGCTTGCCTTTCCCTTCATCCCAAATGGGCTACAAACCTATTGATTCCCAGGGTTGGGCTTTTGTTATCCACCCCCTCAACCCCAGTATCACACCCTTGATCCACATCCACACACCCTAATCCAGCCACCTTTGAAATTCCCCACCTGTGACTGCATGAGGCTTTGGGGGACATCTAGATACAAGCCATAGCAGGCATGAGATTGCTGACAGTTATATTTAAAAACTTTAGTGGCCAGGGATTTCGCTCAGTGACACAGTGCCTGCCTGGCAAGTATAAGGTCCTGAGTGATTCCCAGTAGGAAAAAATTAAAAAAAGCTTTAGAGCTAGAGATACAGCTCAGTGATAGGGCATTTGCCTAGCAGGGCCCTGGCTTCAGTCCCTATCGCTGTGTCTCAATTATTTTTCTCTCTTTGCTGAGACAAAATACCTGACACCTAAAATGAAGGAAGGAAAGGTTTATTTAGCTCACAGTGAGTGGAGGTTTCAGTCCATACTCAGCGGGCTCCAAGGCAGAGTGGCACATGGCAGAGGGCAGTCATTTATGGCAGCAGAAAGCAGCAAAACAGCAAGAACAAAAGAAGGAGCAGAGGTGGCGGCAGCAGAGGCAACCCTTCTCCCTCCCTCATACGGCATTCAGGCCAACGGCAGGTGTAGCACTCACACCCCCCCCCCCCGATCCCAGCAGCACTCACACCCCCGATCCCAGCAGCACTCACAGCCCCGATCCCAGAAGCACTCAAACCCCCATCCCAGCAGCACTCACAGCCATGATCCCAGCAGCACTCACAGCCCCGATCCCAGTAGCACTCACAGCCCCGATCCCAGAAGCACTCACACCCCCATCCCAGCAGCACTCACAGCCACGATCCCAGCAGCACTCACAGCCATGATCCCAGCAGCACTCACACCCCTGATCCCAGCAGCACTCACAGCCATGATCCCAGCAGCACTCACACCCCC